TGTCAGAGCTCTCTCAGCCCCACCTACCTCACAGGGTGTCTGTTGTGGGGAGGGGAAGGGAAAGGAGTTTGTAAGCCGCTCTGAGACAACTTTGGGTAGTGAAGGGCGGGGTATAAATCCAATCTCTTCTTCTTCTTACTGTAAGAAAGTTTCTCCTAATATCCAGTTGGTACCTTCCTGCCCTTAATTTAACCCATTATTTTGAGCCCTATCCTCTGCTGCCAACAGGAACAGCTCCCTGCCCTCTAAGTGACAGCCCTTCAAATACTTAAAGAGAGCAATCATGTCCACCTCAGCTTCTTCTCCAGACTAAACATTCCCAAGTCCCTCAGCCTTTCCTCATAAGGCTTGGTCTCCAGGTCCCCAATCATCCTCGTTGCTCTCCTCTGCACACGCTCCATTCTGTCAACATCCTTTTTGAAGTGAGGTCTCCAGAAGTGCACACAATACTTCAGGTGTGGCCTGACCAATGCAGTGCACAGCGGGACTATGACATCTTGTGATTTGGATGTTATGCCTCTATTGATACATCTCACGACTGCAGTAGCCTTTTTTGTCACCGCATCATACTGGCTGCTCATATTTAACTTTTGGTCCACCCATACCCCAAGATCTTGTTCACACACACTGCTACTCAGAAGTGTATTTCCCATCCAGTATGCGTGTTCCTCATTTTTGTTACCCAGACGAAGAACTCAGCACTTATCCTTGTTAAATTGCATCTTGTTTACAGCCGCCCACTTTTCCAGCATGTTCAGATCCTGTTGAATTCTATCTCATCTTCTGGTGTGTTCGTTGTTCATCCCAATTCAGTGTCATCTGAAAATTTAATGAGTAGCCCCTCCACACCCTCAACCAGATAATTTATAAAAATATTGAAAAGTACAAGGCCCAGAACCGAGCCCTGTGGCACCCCACTGGACACCTCCCTCCATTCAGATGAAATGCCATTGACAATGTCAGATAAAATGAGTGCAGTTCTCCAACCAGTTCCCTAACCACTTAACTATCCTGCAGTCCAGTCCACAGTCCTTTACCCATCAGAACATCATGGGGAACCCTGTCAAAAGCTTTACTGAAATCCATGTAAACATCAATAGCATTCCCTTGATCCAGTAAGCTTGTCACTCGATCAAAGAAGGAAATGAGGTTGATCTGGTAGGACCTGTTGGGGACAAATCCGTGCTGACTTCCCTGGATCACCCAGTTGTCCTTTAGATGCTCGCAGATTGGATCTGCTCCAATATCTTCCCTGGGACAGAGGTCAGACTGACTGGCCTGTAATTTCCTGGGTTGTGGGGACGGCGAATCTCTGTGAGGCATGCCTGAAGTTCAATGTTCCCGCAGGGAGATTGGGAACCAGAGTGCACAAGGCGAATATCTGCTGAGCGATGAGCTCACCATGAGAAGAGAAACTTGGCAGAGTCGGGGAAAGATAAGATGATGAGCTGTTTGCAGCTCACATCCTGTTATTTAGTTCAGAATATGCTTGTAGCTTAGAAAGCAGGGGGGAGGAGAGGGGGAATAAAACACTGCTGGTCCAGGGTAGGTCAGACAGATTTCTGCAGAGCTGTGTGTTGTGTCATTCTTTCAACCCTCAAGCCCTCACTGGGCCATCCCTCCTCCCTTTATTGAAAATTGGGATAACATCTGCCGTCCTTCAGTCTTATGGCATGCCTTCTGTCCTCTAAGAGGTCTGGAAGACGATGGACAAAGGTTCTGCAAGCTCTCTATTCTTGGGTGCATACCATCTGGGCCAGGGGATCTGTATTCAATCAATGCAGCCAGGTGCTTCTCAACTACCTCTCCAGGAGATTTCCAGGTCCCACCTGGAGGGTTGTGGCCCTATTTTCAACTCTCCTTTTCATTAATGTTCTGTCAACTCCCATTGGCTGCTCTTAGGGAAGAACCTAACTGTCACAGAAGACGAGACATAAAATCTGAAATACAGTACACACTTGCCTGAACAATCCATTGAA